ATATATATATATATATATATATATATACGAAAAGCAGCTCCGAGCTGGGGTCAAGGAATGTGGAACACTTAATTTGAAATCATGCTCATCCAGAAATGGTGCATGGATGAACAATCTAGTTGGGAAAATGATTCAAGTTACACAAAATATGCACTGAAACAGAAGGATGGAATTTAATAATGAAGAAGTTTTGCTGAGAACCATTATCCCCAATTAACTCTTCAAAGGGAATACTAAAAATGCACATCGAGTAAACAGACCATTAGTTACTAATGTTTGTCATAATTTCAAATTATATTTTGGCCTAAATGAAACAGAGGTAAATTTTGTAAAGTCAGCATGACAAATGAAACACGTATTCTGGTCGTAGACCGCTGACCCATTATTGTCTAACTATCTATAGATAAATCTGAAATTTCTGATACACTCAGTTTGGCCAACGTCCATGAATCCCATTTGGACAATACAGACAAATTACCTCAACAGGACTTACTATTCAGAGAATTCGGGTCCATAGTGAGCTTCTTTGCGGACAGCAAAACTCGCAGGTGTCTCATCAATTACTTCGTCCAACAGAATAAATTGACCACAATTTCTAGTGACTGCGCTCTGTAGCAGGAACCGGTCACAAATAAAAGCTAAATTCGGATTTTGTCTCAAGGCGCTCAGACCTCCTTCGGTATCGTACACAGTAATATTGTCCTCGAGCATCATCTCATAGATTCTGGAGTATGCAGAATGATTTTCGGAATTCTAGACAAGAAAAAAAGTAGAAGTTATTTCTTGTTAAGCGGAAGTACAATCGTAACAAAGGATAAGATAACCAGACAAGAGAGGAGTTTTGAACTGTTTATTAGCACAAAATTGTACAAAAGGCCGTCAGTTGAGAGAAAATACCAGAGTGAATGATCTCTATAACAGTTTAAATGCGATGCTGTAAAAAATGTGTTCCATATTCCAACTTGGTAACTGCTTGGATTTCATTATTTTTTAGCCGACAGATTCCGAAGAAATACAGGTCAAAACTGAAGCAACGGGTCCCTGTGAAACACCTG